GTTGACTGAAGAAATGTAATATTTATCCAAAACTTCCGCGTGGCAGACGAGGTGGCCGAGTGGTTAAGGCGATGGACTGCTAATCCATTGTGCTCTGCACGCGTGGGTTCGAATCCCATCCTCGTCGTTTAGCGCTCCACTCCGTAGTGGACGCTAGCTAGGTTTTAGCGCGTCGCAGCAGGGGCTGTTTTAGTGCTTTGTGAACCGAGTATTGCAGCCTTGGGGCGAAGAAAGAGGACTGCACACTCGGCTCAATCCTGCGGATGCTCCTCGGAGGGGAGCGGCGGCGCGGGAGGCGCAGGTGAGGCAGGCACGGCGCTCGGGTGCGGGCCCTGCCCCTCGCAGGACCCCGGAAGTGGCAGCTTTTGCCTCACATCCTTTGCCTTTTAAATCTCAGGCACGTTTCCAAGTCCAAGGCTCTCTTTGGCCCCCTTATCACTCTCGGTCCTTCCACCTTGCCCTTCAAACCGGCGTTGTCGTCCCCCCCCCCCGGCGCAGAGGGTGCCCACCTGCTGTGCTTTCGCTTCTGTCGCCCCTCCCGCCAGGGGAGCCTCCGCTTCCTTCTGGAAAACTCCTTTTCCGGACCCGGATCAAACATCCCCTTTCCGTGGACTCTGCTAAGGCAAACCTTCTTCTCTTTGTATTGCAGTCGAATTAATGTAAATCGAAGATCTTTTCCCAGCGCTCCAGACTCCATTTATTTCTCCTGTCTTTGACTATATCCTGCCACGTACGTCTTAATTTTAGCACATAATCCCACAGAAATCTCATCTGTCGCCTGTTTTCATCTTCGAGTAAACGAGAGCAAGGGGCCAGGCACACAGCGTAGAACAGCAGAGTTTGAAGAGGTGGAAGGGATGATCCGTCTGAAACTTCCCCTCTCTCACCTGCCTCGGTCCTGCAGGTGAGGAGACTGAGGTAGGGACCAGACGAACCCAGTCCTTCCTTTTAAGGATCGTGGGGACCACGCTCTTTTAGACCAGGTGTGTGAGATGATGAGGCCTTTCCAACGTGTTCAAATCCTGCGACTGGGGTTGTAACTTTTGAGGCCCGGAAAATTCTTCTGAAGTACACTTGTCATAAGCCGTGGACCTCTCGAGGCCTCATGTAGATGGAGGCCTAGGGAGCATGGATTTTAAAGCAATATCTGTTTTTCAATCTCACGTAACAATATACGGCTTATATAACATATGTGGTTCAAAGACGGTTTGCACACTTTAACCATTTAATCTCGGACATGAAAGCTCAGGAGGTGATGACCCAAATGAAAGCCAAAGTGGAATCTGCAGGAAACAGGTGACATGCTTTGCATGTTTTGCTTTTTCTCCAACAAAGAACCAGGGAACTGTTGCTGCCGTGGGTGCCTGAGCGGTCTTCCCCCTCCCGCCGCCCTCTCCCCACTTTACCTCCTTTGAAAATAAGGTTCTAAGGGTGTGTGCCACCCTTTTATATCCTGTTTCTCCCACTTTGCACGTTGTAAACATTCAACAGATAGTTGTAAAATAAACCCAGGCATTGTGGGGGGGGGGGGCAGCGGGGCGGGGGGAGGGAGGGACTGAAACTTCATCCTGCAGAAGGGACCAGAGTGTGTGTCACTCCTTTTAACACACGGGAAAGGATGATTTTAAGTGTACCCGTCTCCTGGGTCCCCCAAAGTGAGGAGGTAGGTCTGGGGCAATTTTGCCTCTGCCCTTCACCCCTTTCAAACCCAAAGGGTCTGTTGTTTTCCTTGCGTATAGTGAAGAGGGAGGGAAAGAGGAACAGATTAAGTAGAAAACTGCTGCGTCTCTCTGTTCTCTCTCTACAGTCTGGACTTTACAGGCGGCTAGAGGAAACCAGTGAGACAGGAGCTCGAAGAGGCTGAGGAAAGGAGCAGGTTTTCTCTGCCTTGTTTTAATTATTCATTGCTTTGACCTCTAGCAAGAGCACTCACGGCCTCCCCATTGGAACGGATGTTAGATCCGAAATCAAACACCATGTCTTACCATCTTACCATGAAGTCAACAGTTGGAAATTACTTTGTCTGCATCCTAAATTATTAAATCCAGGTTTGAGGCACGGGAATGCGTGCTTGCGTGTTTTGCCCAGCCATCTTCTCTGTTTCCCTGTTTGCAGGCAACTGTAAACCCCAGGGCCCTTTCAGGGGCCTTAGGGTTTCTGTGCTGTAATTCAGGTTGGAAAACAAGCTGTTCTTCTCCGTCTGCTGGCAACACAACCAAAGGACGAGAGAGAGGCGGAAAAGGAGAGGGAGAGTGGAAAACTGTAACGTAGACTCACAGCGGCTAGAATTTCGAGGGACCCACGGAGTCAGGCTAGAAGTGAAACGTGAAGAAGAGCCTGGGGTCTCCACAGAGCAGCAGATTTCCCACTCAGCAGTTGGAGAGACCTCCTCGGCCAGAGGATCCAAACCCCCTTCTCCAAGTGTCTCAGGACAAGCTGAGCCTGGGAAAATGAAACTCAGGCCCTCAAAATCCAAATCTGGGGAGAACTCGAGAGCTCCCCGTTTGTGAACAGCTTTATTTCCTTGGACTTTCAGTCTAGGAAAGCACCCTAGACACCGCTTCCCCCAGGGCTGTCTAGAACGACCTATTTAATGTAGAGCTGGGAAAAGAAAGAATGCAAAAATAAAAAAGAAAAAGAACGTGAGGAGACATTTGTTCGGTAGGTCGACCCTAGACCCTTCCACGAGGTAAGGTACTTAGTGTTTCTAGGAATGTACCGAAACTAAAGTTAACCACGAAGGGATTCGAACCCTCAATCTTCTGATCCGAAGTCAGACGCCTTATCCATTAGGCCACGTGGTCCCTCACGGTGGGTGTTTATTGAAATATTTAATAAAATGAGCATTCAGTCCGTTCTGCGTCCTGTAAGCCAGGCAATGATGCAAAGGCGATGGCGTCCTCGCTTTTCGTCTGCAGAAAAATGGAAAGTCTAGATCGTGTGAGGTCATTTGGGGCCACGGAGTCGGGATTGCGGAAGGGTTGAAACTGACAATCATTTCTGTCTTGTGGCGTATGGGGCCTCCCTGGGAAGAAAAGCCATTTTTTTGTTAAATCTACCATTCCCCTGAGCAGAAAGACTGGAGTGTGTGGCTCCTAAAAGATGCTCAAGTATTGCATGTTGTCTGCATCAAGGGATAGTTTTCAATAAGCTAAGTCATTGTTTCTTCCTTATGAATACTCGCTCACATTCACTATTTGCAGACCCTAGGTACTTGGGACATCTGTCTGGGCAGTTGTTATGGAAACCACGCCCGGAGGGCGGTCTTACCGTCAGGCAGCGTCTGCCCGACCGTCTCTCTCTCCATCCAGCGCGGGCAGCTGCAATTTCCCCCTTCATTCCCCTGCTCTTCCGGTGCTTTATCTGTGACAATGGGACATCAGAGCGCTTTCCACACTGTCTCTATCCGTTTGAAGAAGAGAATGCTTTTCTTGGCATTTCTCAGGGGTAGAGAGGGGTTTAGGGCCGTTACTATTATTTGAGGCTTCCACATATTAACAACAAAAAGATCGCACTACAGTAGGATAACAAACATTTTGACTGTTAACAACATTTACATGTAATAGCTGAATCTACACAAAAACGTGTTTCAGTAAAATCATTTTATGGACAATATTTGTAGAATTTATAATGTTCGGTAGAGTACTCAGCCCAATGATGTGATATAGATTTAAAACTGTATCTGGGATGGCTTCTTTCAAGCTTGTCAGCGCGTCACTGTGACCTCAAGGTAGTTCGTTTGAAGATAATGTGAGCATTGTGCGCTGAAGACACTTCCTTAATTTTCTAAAACGCAAGGCTCCAGGAGCAGTGGCTCTACCGGCTCATTTGTGTAGGCTCTTTTTTGTTTTCTTTTTTTTTTAATTGTGAGACTAACCTGCGGAATTGTAGCTGAGGGAAAAAGGAAAACACAACTAGCAGAGGATGGTTTCGATCCATCGACCTCTGGGTTATGGGCCCAGCACGCTTCCGCTGCGCCACTCTGCTGCCTACGTGAACGCGTTCATAATTACGCCTTTAATAGTGCTCAGAAACGACTCGCGTCACTAACGCTTCTAAAAATAGTTCGCTGGGGGCGGCGTGGGGAGGGTGGTGCCTATTTATCTCAATACTTTCACTACCACAAGTTACTAATTGTTTGGAATAACGTCGCTATCACAATCAGGGAGAAGACAAAACTCGCATCAGAGAAGTAAACATTAACACACATAAGTTACTAGGCGCAGAGGTGAGTTAGGGTGGCTAGATGTTAAAATGAGAATTACAGGTTTTAATATACAGGAAAGGAAGAAGACACACCGGGAAGGGACCCGGGCTCCCGTGGCGGCCTTGTCTTCAGGACGAACACCCTTTTGGTAGGATTTCCCCAGCTTGGTGTGCAGCGCGGCGTCTGGCAGCTTTTAGACTCCTGCGGGTGCGGGAGGGGTCGGGGGGAAGGATTTGGTTGGAAAGGCTTTGCTGCGGGAACAGGAGAGCCCCAGGAGCCGAGAAATCGGGCCGAGGGACCCGCGTTCCCACTAAGGTGCACTGTCTCCACCCAGCAGAAGAGAATCAGTTCGAAATGTGTGAAGGATAAAGGGGCTCAGTACTGAATGGGTGAACCGACCACGAACCCCTCACTGGGCAGGTTGTGTCAACTCTCCTGCGCCTCGCTTTCTGCCGCTTTTCTGCAATCCTTCCTCATTGCAGTTGCGTAAAAGAAGATACAAAACTGTCATTTTCCGGATTATGCTTCCCTCTCAGGTCAGTTTGGCTCACATAAACTCAAAATGCTGTACAGGTTTCACGTTTCTACAGGGACGAACGTCAGTTTCTTTAGTTTTAAGCAGTTAAAAGTTCGGGAAATCCTCATCCGGGGACCTAGGCCGTACGGCCTCGGGAGGGGAGGGGCGGAGCTCTATTCGCGGTGATGTCATCCGGCGCTTGGTCTCGAGGAGGCGGGCCTACAGCCGGCGGGAGTTCTTGCGTGCCTCCTGTTTCCAATTAGGTCCGCACTCCGCGTATATAACTGGGCTGCTCCTTTCCTACAGCCTGTTCGGTTCTTGTCTGAGCCTTGCAAGCATGTCTGGTCGCGGCAAAGGCGGAAAGGGTTTAGGTAAAGGCGGCGCCAAGCGCCACCGCAAGGTGCTGCGCGACAACATCCAGGGCATCACCAAGCCCGCCATCCGGCGCCTGGCGCGGCGCGGCGGCGTGAAGCGCATCTCCGGGCTCATCTACGAGGAGACGCGCGGGGTGCTCAAGGTCTTCCTGGAGAACGTGATCCGGGACGCCGTCACCTACACGGAGCACGCCAAGCGCAAGACGGTCACGGCCATGGACGTGGTCTACGCGCTCAAGCGCCAGGGCCGCACCCTCTACGGCTTCGGCGGCTGAGGTGCCCATTCCTTCCTTCGTATCTACCTGACTGTCTCCACCAAAGGCCCTTTTCAGGGCCGCCCATTTTCTCTCTGGAAGAGCTGTGCGCCTATTTTCGTGTTTTGGTGTGGGGAGGGACAGAAAGGAAGGAGCTTCTCGGAGCGTTTTTAGTTTTGCGTGGAATTCTGAAGTCTTTTTCTATAGCAGGGACGGTGTGTTTTATAGGCCGCGATGGCAAAGAGCAGTACTTAAACGTGGCGGCGCCTGGGAGCTCTGCCGACCTTTGTACTTCAGATTTGCTAGGGGTTCCCTGAGCATGTTACGTCGCGAGTGTCAGCAGCTGTGCTGCTTCCTGCCCGCAGGGGCCCAGGTTGATTAAAATAAGAATACTCAGTAGAAGGTTTTTTGTCCTGGGCTACGTCAGGAAGGGTGGGCAGACTCCGGACTCAATCTGTCCCCTTCGCTGGCTTCAGACTTGAGTGTCGGCACCCTCAAAGGAGATGGGCTTGGGTATAAAAGTAATTAAACTGGGCCCCTCCCAAGCCCGAGGCCAAGCAGTCCGTAAGTTAGGGTTGAGTAGACTAAGGGGTCGGGGCTATAACTCAGGTGTCTAACTTCCCCTTGAAGTTGGAGGGCCTGTGCGTGGGAGAGGAAGCGTGCTGCCGCCGTCCCAGGCTCCTCGCCTCCCCCCTCCCGCTTCCTTCCTCCCGCCGCCTCTCGGCTCCCCAAGGGGGACGCGGTCTGCGCGCTCGGGTGCCGTCTGCGGCTTCCGGGGCTAAGTCGCCCATTTTCAGCCATTTGATCATTTTTCCACCCAAGACCCATTTCACGGTCACGCACATATTGCCGTAATAACGAGCTGCTTTTGTTTTGTGACACGCGCAGTTAAAGCTATCACGAGCCAGCTTTAGTTTTAAGCTTCGAGTCATTTTCAGGCGTTGACAGTTCACTGCTGGGCAATCGTGTGGGGAGGGTAAGCCTGCTTGGACATTGGAAGGTTTCAGGCGGCAGCGAGGAAGTTTGCGCAGCGTTGTCCAGCTCGGTTTTCCAGGACTTCGAGTGGGAAGAAGCGTGTACACGGCTCCCCACTACCAGGGAGAAGTCAGGTTGCACTGCCTGAGAGGTGGCAGGGGATCCTCCCTGCCCGCCTCTGTCCCCGGGCGGCCGAGGAGGGGCCGGGACAAAGGCGAATCCGGAGCAGACGCGGGGTTCGCGGGCAGGAGCCCGCTGTGTGGCGTGTGCGCAGCTGTTCCCTGCAGTACAAAGGCCCTGGGGGAGAATTGGAGTGGCCACGCGGGAGAGCGGGCAGGCACTGCTCAGCCTGGAGACTTAATATAGTTTGACTTATGTATGAAAACGTCAAGTACATAGGAGAATGTTACTCAGTGAACAACACCTAAAGGTCACCCAAATGTAACAATTAATTAGCAAGGAGGCAGACCATTTTTTAAAGTATACATACAGGTATCAGGATATTACACCCCAAATTAAATGTACACTATTAAAAAAATAAAACTTCTATATACTCACACTTAACTAAAACTAGATACTTTAATATCTAATACTCAGTTCACATTTTCAAAATCTCTATTATGGCCCAAATGTCTTGGTGACGTGGCTTGCACAGCGGTGGACCCAGTTACACCTGCGGCTCTGTCTCAGGTTTCTTAGTATACGTTTTTCCCTCCTCCCCTATCCCAACTTTTTTTTTTTTTTAACCTTTCTTTGCCGTAGATCTGACCTAGAGGATGCCCTTGTTTGTCTTATTTCCTGATGAGGTCGCTTCATTTGACGTCTATACCCTGTATGCCCTTCAAGGTAGAAGGAATTTCCATGGATTTGATTGAAATCACGTTAGTTTTCGATCAACAGTCCCGGAACAGTTGGTAGATGCTATTGTGCAGGCGCTGGTGCGCCCTATCGGGGAGTCGGGAGGTCGGCCTTATCTGAACTCGGGCTAATAGGTTGATTGCTGGCTTAGGATGAGTATAAAATCAGGGTTAGAGTGAGGGCCCGCAAGTCATCTGTAGGGTGACGCTCTGGGATTGAAAACAGCCCGCGGAGTCATTGCAAATCTCATTTACTTTAAAGGTATGGGCTGCAGTGCCTAACGAGGGAGAGTGTCAGGTGCTACCGGAGCGAAGGTGTTGGTTGGAGGAGAGAAAGCTATATGAAGATGTTAATTTAAAAAAAAACAAAATTGAGCACACAGCATATACTAGACACTGGGAATTATATGCTGTTGGAATTATAGCAGTGAATAACAGTGAACAAAACAATATTTCTGTTTTCATGGAACTTATATTTTACGGGGGGGGGCAAACAAAACAAGGAAAACATATGGTGTGTTGGGTGTGCTAAGCGCCCGGGAGACCACCGGAGCGGGGGGGGGGGGGGGGGGCGGGGGGTGCGGGGGTGCGGGAGAGGCCGCATTTAAACGACGTGGTCCTGGAAGGCTTTACCCCTACATGATGATTTGGGGAAGAAAATCGAGGGAGCGCCAAGCAGGAGGGAGGCCCAGGAAGGCAGCCTGGAGGCGGCAGGGGCTTACCGTGCTCACACTCAGGAGGAAAGGAGGGCTGGAGGGGAGGAGTTTCTGCGTGGCTTTGGAGGCCAGTGTGTGACGGAACACGGTGTGCTGAGCCAAAGAAACACAAGTCTTTAAAAAAAAATTTTTATTTATTGATTTCCAGAGAGAGGGAGAGAGAGAGAGGAAAGGAGAGAAAGAGAAGCATGGGTTTGTTCCACATACTGATGCATTCATTGTTCAATTTCTTGTATGTGCCCTGATCAGGGATGGAACCTGTGATTTTGGTATATCAGGACGATGCTCTAACCACCTGAGCTACACCGCCAGGGCGAAACACATGTCTTGTTGCAAGAAAAAGTTTTGTTTTTACTTGTAACAAGTATAGGAGGGCAGGGGAATAGTTCCCAAAATGGTGCCTCCCTGAAGGGAGGCTTAGCCATGGTTTATGTACATTATTTTGTTGACTACATGTTGATTTCTAAACTTATCCAGGATTTGGTTAATTAACTGTTTATTTCTTCTTTGCAGTTGGTTGGGTTCCTGTCAAGCTCAGCCTGTTAGAGCTACAGCTGCAGCTGCAAATTTTGTGCTACATTTTAACACTGAGCAAAGACAGCATTTAGTAAGAGCTGCCCCGACCTTCAGGCCGTGGTCCTCGCTGACAGATGTAACGCTGACTTTTACTCTGAGTGAGGCGGGAGCCATTGTGGGGTTTCGAGCAGAGGGTGCACATGATCTGATTTGTATTTTAAAAGCTCTCTGGGTGCCTGGCACAGAAGGGACCGGGGTAGGAGCAGGGGCGGCTCAGAGGCTGCCTCCGTAAAGCATTTGAGAGACGACAGCAGACTGGACCAACGTGTTGATGTGAGAGACTGCGAAAGAGGCTGAACTGTATCTGTTTTGAAGGCGGTCTTGGTAGACTTTTTCTGAGCTCGTGAACGTGGGGTTTGAAAGAATAAAGTCAGGGATGGGCACAATGGCTTTCGCCATAGCACCTGGGATGAAGAGGCCGGTTGCTAAAATGGGAAGGATATGGATGGGACGCGTCTTAGGGAGGGTCACAGGCGGAGTTTGGGACATGCAGTTTGAGACCCCTCTACTGTATCTAAGAGGAGGATGTAAAATAGGCAGTTGGAGACATGAGCCTGCAGTTTGGGGGGAGTCCTGGGCTGGACACATAGTTGGGAGTTGTCATAGGTGTTCCATGGGAGGGAAGCAGCCACAGGCGAGAGATGCAGTCTCTCAGAAAAGTGGGTTGGCAGGAAGGAGCTGTTCCAGAACGGAGCCCTAAGGCAGATAACGAAACGGGTGGATTCATGCCGCGACCCGCGCGGAGTGTTGGTCCCTGAGTGGGAGCGACGGGAGATTGAGAAAGGACAGCACAACACAAAGACACAGCAAAGAGTGTTTAGAGGGAAGCGGGGACCAGATGGGACCTTGTCCACTGATGGAGAGACGATGACAGTGACCACGGTCTCCGCGTTTATTTTATAGGAGTTGGTTAGATGAAGCTCAAGGGAGTTTCGCAGACCGAGGGAGCGCTGTGGGCGCGGACTGTTCCGCTCCCAGGCTGCCTGCATGGTAAAGCTTTCTTTTGCAGAGGTTGCGGTCGTCTTCAGCGCAAGCTTGCGGGTATCTCTGCCTTCTTAACCCCCCCACCCCCACCCCTCGGCTCGGGCTGTCGCCAGCTGCCAGCCCGCCCTGCCTTGCAGGAGTGTCACCTTGCCAAGCGCTTAACCTGGCTTTTGATGTTGGCCTTCACCATCCCCCACAGATTCCTAACTTACAGTTTTACAAGTGGTTTCTTCTGCAAGTCTCCCTTTCTCCTATGATTCTCAGAACAAGCAGAATATCTGTTATTCTTGTTCGCAGATGAGAGAAAGTGCCTTCAGCGAGGGTCGCTCTGGAGACCCAGGGGTAAACACACTGTCTTCTGCAAAGGCTCCCATGCGCCTCGCAGGCTTAGCGGGCAGCTCCAGGGAGTCCCCAGGCCTCCGGCAGCCGACCTGTGGGCTCCCCTCGAAAGCCCCGCGTCGGAGCTGGCCTTTTGCTCCCCTTGGCTTCCGCGCTCCTGATTTGAGAAGAGGGACCTCGAGAACACAGATCTCTGTCTACTCTGCTGCCATGGAAACAGTGTTGACGCAGTAACATAGAAAAGACCAGCCTAGAGATCTCATTTTGCGTTTTTGATTTGTTCAGCCAGTAAAAATGGATGAAAATGACACGTGCCACCCTGAGCAGGACCTTAGGACCATGGGCGGCCTGTCATGGTCCCTTCAGCTGGTTCTGAGAATAAAGGAGACAAGTGCAATGACAGCAGGAACTGACCCACCATCAACAGCCATTATGAATAACACAGAAACCTTTATTGTAGGAAGTCACCGGGATATTGAAATTCTCACAGCACAACCAGCCTACATGTATTACATCGCATCTGGTTTCTGGGAATTGCTGCACTCTGGGGACACGAAGTGGCCGTGTTGTCGCATGCGGCTACAGCTCACTTGTCACGGCCGTGTCAGGCAGTGTGACTGCACCGCACCT